TCCCTTGCCACGTAGGAATGAGATGCGCCACACGAGGCAGTCCTCCAAACAGCAGTTAACGGCAATTAGCAGCAGTTAAGTTGGCTGTGAAAGTAAGGGCTAAATTGCTTCTATTGCAGAGTTCAGGGGCTTAAATGCTTCAATTAGAGTTTGGGGGCTTAATAGCGATTCTGGGGTCCGTTCAGGGGCTTAACTTATGGTTTTGCCTTTTGCTTTTCGACAACTCCTTTCCTCATTCCCATTTTGTTCTTTTTTGAGTAGTAGTTTTTTCAACCACTCCTTCCCCCTTTCCCATCACGTACTTCACAATTTGTCTTACATTGCTTTTGTGAGTCAGGCACCCGTTCACACGTTTAACTTCAGTTAAGAAAAAAAAAAAGTAACCGTTCACACGCACCGGTAACTGTAGTTGCATTGGTAGGTGCATCTTAATCATAAATTTTAGGTTTAAATATCATTTTGGTCCCTCAACTTTGCACTTTAACACCAAAATTATCCCTTAACTTTAAAAAGTATCAAAATTATCCTTAAACTTTCATTTTCATGACAAAAATGATCCTTCCATCAATTAATGGATAGGTGGCATGTTAAATGCCACAAAGTCACTGAATTTTTTTAATCTTAATGATGTGTAAATTCCAATGAAGAAAATTTAACCTTTTTTATTATTATTTCACAATTTTTCAAAAAAAAAAAAAAAAAAAGAAACTTCATATTCTTCCACCTTTCATCCTTCGACAATTTTACCTCATTTTCTATCAACCTTCCTCCTTCCTTTCTCTACTCACCCTTTTTCTTTCTTCCTCTTATTCTTTTTCTCTCTCTTCTCCCTTCTTCCTCACCAAATCAAATTCAGATTTGAGTTTTTCTTAAACCCAGAAAAACCCAAATTTGGTCCTTAATACCCACCTGCCTAAACCAATAAAAAATCAAAGACATCTACAATATACTCTAAAAAATTCATCAAAAATGAAATAAAGAATCAAGTAGCAAGCCTCGAAGGAAGGCAGTAGGAGTGTGGATGTGATCACAATATTTCAGTAAAATAACCACTTCATTCATTACCAGCAATAGAATAGATTGGATAATATAAAAATCAGCCTCATATGAGAATTAGATTGGACAACATATTACGACTTAGACATATGCTTGTCAAAAAAAAAAATTAAATCATTTGCTGAATTTTTACATTACAAAATATACTTAAAATGCATGAAATTATTTAAAAATAAAATTTAATAATGGGCCTAATAGAGAAGAGATTAGATTAGACCACTCAACACGAGAATTTTCAGATTTGTAACGAAAGGAATTAAATCATTGGCGGATCTGAATCAGAAAAAATAAAATAAAAATTGAGAGAATAAAAAGAATGAAAAGATGCTAAGGGACTCGGAATATGGGTAGTGATATATCAAGATGGTCGACAAGGCCATCGAAATAGCCGTTTACGACAAACGAGACCTATGTAAAAAGGAAATCATCATTGTCCCTTGGAAATCAAATTAGGAGAGAAACAAACAAAAAAGAAAGAAAAGAAACCATAGAATATTAACATAGAGATTAGATCCAAAGAACAAACAGGCTTATCTGGGCAGATGAAGGGAGAAGAAACGCCATAGAGCGTTGCTCGTGAGCGATTAGCTCGGCGACCATTGTGTGCATTTGGGACTGACAGTTAAATTAGAGTGTGCATTCTATAGTAAGATGGGTTTGAGATCTGGGTTTTCTAGGTTTGAGCAAAACCCAAATTTGGGTTTGATTTGGAGAGGAAGATGGGAGAAGAGAGAGAAAAAGAATAAGAGGAAGAAAGAAGAAGGATGAGTAAGGAAAGGAAGGAGAAAGGTTGATAGAGAATAAGGAGGTAAAACTGTCGAAGATGAAAGGAGGAAGAAGATGAAGTTGAGCCAGCAAAGTGAAATCTAGATCAAAGATCGTTTTTTGGGGGAATCCATGGATGAGGTCTTTCCTCACGTTGCTCATGGCTCCAAACAACGTGGCCAAGTGAGCGTAGAACAAGTTCGGTTGAGTTGACGCGGGATCTGACGTGAACCACCGATTGAACATGGCAAACTCGTTTGCCAACTCAATGTAAATCAGAACCCTACCTGACTCAAACTTGCTCATGACGGTTTTCGCCATCCCTTTACTCATGCTCTTCGCCTACTGAGCGAACCCATGCATCAGTGCAAAGGAAGAAGGCTGGGAAAGAGGAAGGGGTAGAGGGATGAGAGAGAAGAAGGGAGGAAGAAGAAGATAAATAATATAACAATAAATTACGTGGGTTTTTATTTAAATTAAAAAAAAATCACATGAAAAAAAAAAAATATCATCTCATCAAGTTTGTTTTTCACATAATTAATTTTTTTTTTTAAATGTGATTTTGTGGCAAGATAACGTGTCACTTGCCACTTAATTGATGGAAGGATCATTTTGGTATCAAAAATAAAAATTTAAAGATAATTTTGATATTTTTTAAAATTAAAAAATAATTTTGATATCAAAGTAAAAAGTCGAAGGACCAAAATAATATTTAAACCTAAATACTATTACGCGTTAATTTCTTATAATATCATTTCTCTTCTTTCAATTTTCTAATGTTTTTGTTTAAAGTACCCGTCC